GGGAGGGAGGGAGGGAGAGATGGTCATGGCACAATTCTTAAATTTGTTTAAGAAAGCATTTTCCTCATTTGTGCTGCAGATAGCCTCGGTCATTTCAAAGAAGAGAACTTTTTCCCCAACCCTGAAGAAGGCAACCATACTATTGTGAATACCGTTCTAGAAATGCACCGAGCTTCACAGATCACGATACTCCCCAACGAACCTGTCCTGGAAAAATTACACTCATGGTCTAGTCATTTCCTGAAGCAACAACTGATCAAGATGGATAAGCAACCAGCTGTGGTTGTTCAAGACATTGCTAGAGAGGTGATTTATACATTGGCTTGATAACAAACTCAAAAACACACATGCACGAGGACTTGTTTGACCTACTCTTAACATTTTTGGAGACTTCATTCTTGTATCTCTGAACTCAAGACATGCTTAATTGTGGACGCATTCACATCATTTTCATGAGCAAAGTGGACATTGTTTGTAAAGTATAAGGGCATTTGATTATTGTTAAACATCATAAGATGGCGTATGTGGTTGTTGGGTGATGTCATACTCTTCAATAATAAATAGATGCCCTTCCATTTACCAACAAGCTTCACTTTTCCTTTAACAAATAGCATGAAGCTCCCATCACCGGAGTGAGGGCATTAATTGTCCAAAAATATTGAGCAGCTTGTTTGTGTGTGTGCGTGTGTGTATAGAAGCGAGTTTATAAAAATTTGAGCAGATTTATATTGGAGTTTCACAGGTGGAGCATACCATCATGTTTCCGTGCTACTCCATGTTGGAGCGCCTTGAGAATAGGAGATATATTGATCAATGTGGTGCTGACAATATTAGGATTGCAAAAACAGCATTTAAGTAAGCTCTGGAAATTACCCGACAAATAATGTGATGCTAGTATCAGTGCTGTTGATAACCTTTCCATTTATGATAGGTTAAACAAAATCAGCAACAAGGATATGCTTGAATTCGCAATTGAAGATTTTCAACTCTGCCAGTCCATTCATCAAAAGGAACTTGAACTACTAGACAGGTATGTTTTGTTCTTTGATGTTTAAAAAGGTTACCTGTTAAACTTTGAAGAAGGAAATCTCTTTTGATTTTCTATGTTATGTCTATAGGTGGGTGAAAGAATGGAGATTGGACCAACTCAAGTTTGCTAGGCAGAAGCTGAACTTTTGTTACTTCTCTGTGGCAGCCACTCTGTTCGAGCCTGATTTTGGCGCAGCTCGAATTTCATGGGCCAAAAATGCAATTCTCACTACTGTGATAGATGACTTCTTTGACATAGGTGGTTCAAAAGAAGAACTCGAGAATTTTATCGATTTGGTTCAAGGGTGCGTCACGTTTCTACTGGTTTTTGAGGAATACACTATATTCCAATAAATTATGAGAAACTTAGTACATTGGGTCATCACATCCTTTGAGGAGCAGGACCCATCCTTTGAGGAGCGAGGCAGCGACAGGAGAGAGGGATCCACCATTGGGCTTATTTCTTGTTCTGGCGGGTCCTTTTATATATCCATTGCCGTCCATTTGAGTGCACTATGATTACCCAATGGACTATAATTTATCCTTAGTTCATTGGACTGTAGTATACTGTTTTTTATTTTGTGATTTTCAGAAGCAGATATATGATGATGATAAATGGAATAACAGGTGGGATGAAAATGCAGTGGTACACTATTGCTCTGAAAATGTCCAGATTATATTCTTTGCACTTCAAGATGTCATTAACGAACTTGGTACAGAAGCATTTACTCATCAAGGGCGTGATGTAAAGCATCACTTAATAGAGATCGTGAGAAATTCTTTGAACTTATTTGATATTCTTCTTATTGTAACTTTACTACCTACTTCTGGAAAATATTCTGTAGTCCAATGGACAATGGTATATGTTACTCCAAGCCATGTCCACCATCCCTACCTTTGATAGATGGTTGGAGTTTTAACTGTTCCTTGGTGAACAGCCTTTTGAGCCATTTCCCTAGAGTAACCAGCAGTGGGTGCAGCTTTGGATTACCATATACCATTATCCAATGGCCTCTGGTATGCTTCCTCTTTTAGTTTTTCTCTCTTTGCTTCATTGGGTGACAAGCGAGTATCAGTGGCTTAGGTTTCTTCATTCGCTGATGAAGGAGGCAGAGTGGTTGAGAAATAAGATTGTGCCATCCTTGGATGAATATATCAAAAATGGTTATGTATCATTTGCTTTAGGGCCCATCATTCTCCCAGCTCTATACTTTGTTGGGCCAAAACTCTCAGAGGAAGTAGTCACTCATCCAGAGTACGAGAATTTATTCCATCTTACTAGTATTTGTGGGCGCCTCCTCAATGATATCCAAGGTTTCGAGGTAAGTTTCTCTTCTTTTCTTACTGGGGTATGTGCTATAATCTTATGGACTATGGTCTTCAAGATCTCTATTGAATTGGGTAGTCATGGAGAGTGGCACCTTCCATTGCATTCTTGACATGTCCTGGTGGGTCCCACTCAACTCTCTACCACCATCCACCATTTCAATGGGTCATGTTGATCCTAAGGACTTCCTTATTCATAGTCATCAGGATTATGATAATACTCTGGCTTTTACTTCTGCTGAGTTGAATCTTATTAGGTAGTTTATCACTTAAAATGTATTATTTAAAAGGAAACAAGAGTCATGGATTGTGCTGAATGGTTGGCATTGGCTAGAGAATTGCTTTTTTGGGGGAAGTATTTCTTAATCAAATGGAGTATATGGTGCTTCAAAGGGGCATCCACCACCACTCATGATAATGCACAGAGAGATTCACTGTAGCTGGGCAAATGTCTTTGTGCACCCACTATATTTAATCTCTAGCGTGAGTCATCTGGAACAGATGGCAGTTGTGCTGTTGCTCCATTGGAATGCATGTACCATACCTGCATTCTGCTTATACTATTCCTTGTATGGCTTGGTGCAGAGAGAGAAAAACGAGGGGAAATTGAACAGCATATCATTGTTTATGAAGCATGTGCATGGTGCTAGTGAAGAGGAGGCCATGAAACACATGAGGGGTGTGATTGATCGAAGTAGAAGGGAGCTGCTCCGTAAGGTCGTGTGTGCTCGTGGGAGTGTGATTCCCAGGTGTTGCAAGGATCTGTTTTGGAATATGACAAGAATACTTCACCTTTTCTACTCAACAAATGATGGGTTTACATCTCCTCATGAAATGTTGCATTCTGTAAATGCAGTCATCCATGAACCCTTGGTTCCTTTGGTAATCTCTTGTGATGAGGCTCACGGTCCTCCAACACCAGTTTGCCCATAACGCTTTCTTTCCTTTTCTTTTTCTTGGCATTCAGGATTTCAATTCGTCAGTTCGAGAAAGGATGAGTCTTGTGAGGTGGCACATTTCCATGCTCTCCAAAATACTCAAAAAAAGGGTATGATACAAGAAGAAGTCACAAAATATTCTGCAACCGACTGAATCTAATGTGTGACACTTGTACAATCGCAATAATAATTGGATATGGATTTTTTGTAAAAAGGGGGCACATTTGGTGACCAGCAGAGGTCTCTCTCTCAGAAAAGTTTCAAGAAGAAAACTGTAAAACAAAAAGCTTATAATTCAATTACTTACATTCCTTGCTTCCAATCCCATGTCATTCTTTTACAACTCAGCAAGATATTGATTAAATACCTTGCTATTAAATGCAGCGAAAACCACATTCACAGAAACAGGTTATCTGCAACCTGTGGTCTATACTGATAATTTAGCCTTAGTCAACCTCATACATCGCCCATGCATCTTAAATGAATATCTATTTCTATGGTGACAAGGCATTGTTTCAAGCTACATGTATTGGTTTATTCTATATGTCCTCTTCTTCACCAAAGAGCTAAGCCTGTGTGGCTACAAAGATCAGGTAGAACAAGAGCACCGGACTTTTTCCAATTCTCAGCATCTGGTGTCTTAAAGTCTGTCCAGGAGCAATGCAGGCGTGCCTACGCTCTTGGTAGGTAGTCCTTGCGCATACTATCCCCTATATGGCAGGCAGGTTGTGTGTGTATGAGAGAGAGATAGAGCCTGATTCAACCCCAAAGCCGGGAGGATAACGTCCTTACACCGGTATTCATCATTACTCACAATCCCCACAATGAGTCCTCTCTCACATAACCATTTAAGGATAAGTTGAGAGTCAGGAAAGGCAGTACATGGTGCAGCAGAACCAACAACAGAGTAGATGCGCTTGAACACCTCAAATGTTTCCCCATCATAATCATAGTCATACCCTGCCTGTCATCAAAGAAGAAAAACCCTATGCATGTCATATGATGGCATTTGATATTGGTAAAAGGAAAAGCACATTTATATTTTTCTTTTTCTTTTTTATTGGTGAAAGTACACTTTTTTCTTCCCGTAGGCAAAGTAGATGATACTTTCCCTTGATTAAATTCTATGAGTATATGCATGAACAGAATTGGTGCGTACCTTGATGAAGAATCTTTTAACACAAGACTGCCACTAATCAACATTGGGTATCTTTGCACCATGGCCAAAACATGGATAACTTTTTGCCATGTCTGCATCCTTGAAGCCTTCATGCATTCGCTTGTAATCTGGCCGCTTAGGAAGCCAGTAATCTGGCCGCTTTGGAAGCCATGCAATAGTAGTCCCCGAGTTCTCCTTTGTATGCTGTCAGAGTTCAACTGTTATGCACTGGAGCTTCGATAAGATTGACATTGTTGCTGAGGCAAAACTTGCCCTGAAATTAGAGAATTTCAGCTCTTTGGTCGGATACTATACACAAAGATATCAACATGGTAGAATACCGGAGTTGAGCAACATTGGTGAACACCATGTTTGTGTTATTCAGAAAATAAATTATCCAAGAAAAATGAGTGAAAAAGAAACAAGGGGATAATATTGCAACCTTATTGTCTAGCTTCTTCAGCAACCTCTAAAGGACGTGCAGACCTTGCAGTCACCAAAAATGGCATTCAATAATCTAGAACATAGTTTTCTAACTCAGGCGAGTCGACTCGGCCTCGCCCCACTGCCGAGGCAGAGGGGCCCCGAGTCCGTGAAACAGGAGCTGCTGGTCCATTGGGTGAACAAGAATAGCTCAAAAAAACGGAAGACTCGGTCAAAAAATGAAACTCGCCTGATTTTGCGCTATTGCGCATGAAACTCATTTTTCATAACAGGAAATTTTGTAAATTGGAAATCTGAAATATGGGAGTGATTTTGATCGAGTTTTGGAACTTTTTCATATTTTTAACAGAAATATTATCTTTATGATAAGATTTGGGTTCATCAACCCAAATCGAACAACAATTTATCACGAAAGGATTGGTGATAAATCACGAAGCTTTTAAAGATGATTTCAAAAGCTTCATCACGGATTGATCATGGGTTCTTTTTCAATTTCTACAAAAGGGCCCTGTTTATTCTATGTTTATCAATTTTAATCACCTTAAATTTATGGTTTTAGGGTTCTGTCCGTGATTTTTCTGTTTTCCATCAAACTTCATTGTTCTTGTTTATTTTTCGTTTTTTTGCCAAACTTCATTGTTCTTGCTTATTTTTCTTTGCTCCGTCAAACTTAGTTGTTCTTGCTTATTTTTACACCAAATCAAAAGATTTTTGGCTTGTTTTGAAGCTTTTGAAATCTTGCTTTTTTCTACACCAAATCTGAATATTTTTGGCTTGTTTTGAAGCTTTTGAAATCAGCTTCAAGATCCTTCACCATTATCGACTGATTTCATGCATAGGTAACACCGTTAGTTTGTGAAAAAAAATTGTCAATTCTATTATTTTTATCTAAGTACCTCATAAATTTTTATAATTTTTATTTTATTTTGAAGCTTTTGAAATCATCTTTAAAAGCGCTATACAAATTCGTGATTTGTTTTGATCCAATATTGACTGATTTCGTGCAACATAGAGCTAATATCGATGAACAATAAAAAAATTGTAAAATCGTTTCTTTTTTTTAATTTATCAACAATAATATTCTGATTATTATCATTTTTTTGAGATACTAAAATAACTTGAAAGTCCCTATATTGCTTTGTGTTTATTTGCTTCAATATCGATTGATTTATTGCATCATAGAGGTAATATCGATGCATTGGGTAAAATCTAATATTTTTCTCTAATTTATCAACAATAATGTTCTGATATTTTTTTTTTTTTAAGATATTCTTATTTTATTTTTATTTGAATCTATTTTATTTTTCAATAGATTTTCCTTTATCTTTTATTTGATCTTTTACTTTTTTTATTTTATTTATAAATTTTTATTCTATTTTATATTGATATTGTATCATTTTATATTTATATATTCTTTCTAAAATTAGAAAAAAATGAAATACAATATAATTAAAATTTAAATTCAATTTAAATATCTAAAATATAGAATATGAATGGGAAAATATCCCCTTGTTGACGAGAGAGACACTTCAACAGAGCAATGAGGAACGAAGAATGTTAAAGCTAATTTTTTATTGTAAAACTTATGATTTCAAAGGAAAGTTTAAAATATGCGAAAGTAAAAGTAGAATGGAATAGAAAATATGATAAATAAGAAACTTAGCCGTAAAACTATTGTTATATTAAAATTTTAAAATTAGCCATAAACTACATTTTACGCATAAGAGTGTGCACTTTATGCAATTTTCAAATTTTTTTAATTTCCTATATTTGTATTTCATATAACATAATTTTTTTTTACTATTTATTAAGGGGTAATAAAACATAAAAAAAGTTTTAAATTTTAAATTTCAGAATCTAAATGTTAGAAACTGGTTTGTTATTTTTAAATATTTGTTAGTTTTTATAAAATAACCAAAAATAAATAACAAAAATTAACAAAAAAAGTTAAAAACATTCATAAAATTTCATGAAAATTTTAAAATTCATAATTACTTGAAATTTCAAATAATAAAAGTTAAAAAATTTCTTTGAGCATTATTATGAAAAATTTGAATAATAAAATTTCAAAAATAACAAATAAAATTCTTGGATTATGAAATTTGTTTAGCAATTATGAGATGTCGTATAAGGCACTCTAAAGAAAATAATTCTCACAATAAGATTGTGAACCAAGAAAAATTATAGAGTAGGTGATTATGAAATTCAAATAAAATAACTACATTCCTTCAAGTGACAAGGTTTTGCTAGAATAATATCACCCTAATTCTGGTTCTACTATACACATGAAGCAGTACAATTTGTATATTTAATGAAAAACACGATAACTTATCTCAAAAGATGAATATATTCATTGAGCTTCATTGACTAGCGAGAGTAACTATACATAAATAATATATATACAAAAATATAAACATAAAGAATAATAAAAATTAATACAAAAAATAAAAATTAATAAAAATTTATAAGAAACTATATTCAAATAATATATAATAATACATTAATAACATAGGTAGAAAATATCAAGAAAGGATGTTCAAGGAAATAGTTAAGCCCTATGTAAATCTACAGTAAATATATGGGTGATCAGAGATACTTTCTCTCTAGATTTCTTGGATTCTTATCTCCATTCATGCTTCACAATTGACATATCTCTCTAGATTTCTTGGATTCTCATCTCCATTCATGCTTCACAAGTGACATATAACGAAAGGTAAAGTTACTTGCTCCATAAGTTTAATATATTAACGTGAAAAAAAAAATCATTTTATTCCACAATTGAAAATTTTACGAATTTTTTTTTTTAAATTTGCTTTTGCCTCGGCATTCTACTCTCTCCCTTAAGCCTATCTATTTCACTGATTTTTTTTCCCATTTCTTTCTCTCTCTCTCATGTACTTTCTCTTTCAATGTCATGTCCAAATCTCTCTATCTATTTTCTTGATTTTCTTTTCATTCTCTCTCTCTCCATGTACTTTCTTCAATGTCATACGTTTTTCTCTCCTGACTGGGATTAGGCCCATGGGTTTCTCTTCCCCTAAAAATAGAAAGTAATCTATCCTCATGATTTTCTCTCTCCTTAAAAATAAATTCTCTCCCCCTATTTTTAGGGGAAGAGAAACCTATGGGGCCTATGTAAATTTATTCTGTATATATGGGTGATCAGACATTTCTCTTCCCCTAAAAATAGAAAGTTATCTATCTAATTTTTTAAGCCATATGTAAATCTATTCTTTATATATGGGTAATCAGGGATGTTTTCTTTTTAGAATTCTTGGATTCTTTATCTCCATTCATGCTTCATGATTCACATATAATGAAAGGTAATGTTATTTGCTCCATAAGTTTAATATATTAACAAAAAAAAGAAAATAATTTTATTCCCTTGGATGACAATCGAAATTTTAGAAAAATTTTCCTTAAATTTACTTTTTGCCTTAGTATTCTACTTTATCTGCCTTAAGTCTATTTCCTTGATTTTTTTTTCTATTTTGTATTTTTTTTATTTTGTTTTCATTTTCTCTCAATCTCTATCTCCATGTACTTTCTCTCTCTGTTATATTCACGTCTCTCTCTCCCTTCAAGATAGGGATTGAGCACCATGGGTTCCTTTCTCTACCCCTAAAAAAGATAGGGATTGAGCACCACGGGTTCCTTTCTCTGCCCCTAAAATTAGATAGTTATCTATCCCAAGATTCTCTCTCCCTAAAAA